AAACATTGCTAGAGAGCAGGAAATGAGGTGAAAGGAGACAAATTTAGAGAAGAAAATTTTTCGGTCGCTACCCGGATTCGAACCCGGGACCTTTTGAATGAGAGGCCAACACCTTAACTTCTAGGCACGAGAGCCCCAATGTAATATTTAAAATTAAATGAATCATAATATCTGAGTAAACTACACTAGGGTGGTTCTAAGAATCACGAAGAGGATCACCTACAGGAAATTATGGAAAAGGTTAAAGAAATATCGTATAATTCGTCTTCAGTCATTGTGTTAGAAACATCCTATGTTCACTTCATTATTTTATTACTATAATGGTTCGCCTCGGTGGCATACACTCGACATATGGCTTCGTTCGATTATCTCGTGGGTGGTTGGCATGGTCCTGCCTCTTAAATAACCTAATAGTGTTGATAGGGGCATTAAAACCTTAACCATTTCACAATTTTTTCCCATGCAGAAGACTCGAGCTGAATAGTATACAGTATCCCAGTACTCAATAAAGTACTCAATAAAACAAGACTTTCAGGCGTACGTCTTCCCTTTCGGGTGTTTCTTAATAAACATAATAATAAATTTTTCATCACCTAAATGAATGATCTGTTGAAAGGATGGGTTATTGGCGGTTGCTCGGATGTCGTTTGCTCTTTCTTTAATATATTAATTTAATTTTTTTTTAAAACTACTGTCCTTATCTATCCTCCTTTTCTGTGTATGTTACTCTCCAGTAACACCTCTACTCTTCGGCTCCTATATGACATGTTTGGGTTGAAAGTGCCATAAAACTCTTTACTAAAACTTTTTAATGAACTGTAGGGTGGATATTTCTGGTAGAACGTCAACTGAGGATCAATGCTACACTCGCTTACGCATGCGCTTTTCGACAAACCATTCTATTGGAGAAGAGCCTAAAAATTACCAAGTTGTGCACGTTAAAGATCCTTTGGAGGTCCAAAATCGATAAGAGTAGGTTACGCCGCCATCCGGGCAAAATTCAAAATTTCCTATCATCTGAAAATGTTCAATGTGTCCTGCGCGCTCATATGACCTTATGCAGTTGCGAGCGCCGTAAAACACTTGCAAATACATTGGCGAAGAGCCTAAAAAATTCAGACCGGTGTTCGTGGTGAAGCAGTTAGGTGCTTCGAAGTTGTGTGCAGAAGTGTCGATGAGGGCGTAAACAAGCCCATATATTTTTCTGACCATTATCTCACCACAGACGCCGCTGATAATTATTGTCACCAGCGGTCATTAGCGAATTTCGGTCACTTACACAGAAACGTTACTGCTTTCATTGGACTGTGAGACTGGCTCTGTGTGTGTGTGTGTTTGTGTGTGTGTGTGTGTGTGTGTGTGTGTGTGTGTGTGTGTGTGTGTGTGT